AAAAAAAAATTTCCCCCCCCCCCCCCCCCCCCCGGAAAGTTAATCGATTTTTTTTTAATCCCCCTGGAAAGTTTTCTGCGGGCGCCCATGCATTCATCCGATTGCGATACAACTTTTGAGAGTTGTACACACACCCGCAAATGTTACTGAATTATTACACACATTTTACAATATTCCGTTTTTGGCCCGGGGCCCTAAATTCATTTTTTCCCCCCTTTTATGAGCTAATTATAATTTCCGTATGCGTTCCTATACCATTCATCTGATTGCAATAGAACTTAGTAAGTTGTTGTGCGCACGCCCCGCAAATTTCTGAATTAGCTTATCCATTTTGAAATATTCCTTTTGGGGCCACAGGGCCGCCATTCGCACCCGGGTCCCATTAGAACAATGTTATTCGGATGTCATTTGTGGTAGTTAATTTTAGTTAAACCGAAGAAGTAAGTTTACAAACATATAGTCCATTTAATTATCTTTCATTTGATACCTCATTTTGTCTTAAAAACCCAAAAATAATAATTTAAATAGTTTTTTAATCCCAACCTCTCACTTCTGGTACCCGGGTACGAATAGCCACTTCGTAAAACACCGCCCCCCCCCCCCCCCCCTTTTTTTTTTTCTTCTCCTTGGAGTGGCATTGCAACGCATGCCAGGTTCTCGCTAGTGTTGAAGAAAAAAATAATAAGTCAAGGGTAAACCCCAATAATAAAACATTTTACATGTTTCAAATTTCTGACTAAAATTCCGAAAGCTATAAATTATTGTTCAGATAATTATAATCCATCATTATGAGTCATTAAATCATTATCAAATAAATGTTTTAAAGAATTAACAACATAGCTTTAAATTTAGGCATTTAATATAAATAATAATTTTAATTAAACGAGAAGAACTCTTTTTTTCTTGTACCTTTTTCTTAAAGATCCCACCGACAATTTCTGGAGATTACACTTACATGTGGACACAGTCACAAATAAGACCCACCTTTATAGATTAAATTTCAACTATTTTAAATATTTCAAAAATGAACACATGCTAACGCCGATGTACAATCGGCAACGACCGACCGACGTACAAACGAAAAACGATCGAATTTCGTACAATCGGAAACAACCGACCGACGTACAAACGGAAACGATCGAACTTCGTACAATCGGCAACAACCGACCGATGTACAAAAGGAAACGATCGAACTTCGTATAAACGGAAGCGACCGACCGACGAACAACGGCAACGACTGACCGAAGCACGGTACCAACGATAAGAATGTCTGATGGCAAAAACATCTTCGATACTTGCAGAATGCACAAACATTCGCAATTAATTGTTTCTTTTGGGCTAGACATAGTCTGACCAACACTTTGTTTGTGACGTCATTTGTAGAAGTTAGAAGGAGCTTTAATGAAGAAGAGATTCAACTCTCACAACAACAATAATAATTAGTACAAATTTTAAATCGAAATCAATGGCTAATATTTATACTTAAACCGATAAAGTATGTATAGGGAACACAATACCAAGTTTTTTCAGAGGCTAACCCCGGGGTGGGCAACATAAAGACCGTGGGCCGCATTCGGCCCTCATAAAAATATAATTTTGCCCTCAAGTCGTTCCGGCGGGTCGTATTACTATCAGCATTATTAACTAGTAGCTAGTTTTCAGATGTTATCTTCTCAGTGTAATTATTTTCAATTCATTACAAAAATATGTTCAAATTATTGTTAGTTATCTCACGATAGTTATTACTTTAGATTAATTTAATAAATTGATATAGACCCTTTGAAAATTGTCATGCCGCGTGCTACAAAAACGATTTCATTTTCATAAAACTCGTGGCTAAGGCCCTCTTCACAAGAAAGGTTGCCCAGCCCTGGGCTAACCGACATCACTTTTGATGAGCGTCAGACATGTCTGTTTCATATAGCGCAAATAATTTAAATCTAGTAAATTAATCACTTGTCATCGACTGCGATTGTGGAGTGGGAGAGTCAATAAAACATCCAGAGCCCGGCTGAAGCTTTGAAATGAACGTGTCAAGAGTCAAGATCACCCGCTGCAGCCTATAAGGCTATATCGCACACGCAATCAGGTCATCACCTCTACCAAAATAATACCATGCCCTTTATTCATACCACTTGCACATAAACATGTGTGTTATGGGATACTTCATATTCATAATAATGAACTATATTTTAAAAGAAAAAACATTAAAACAAATACAGGGTGAGGGTGTCTCGGTCTAAAGTTTCAGTCATGACAACACTGATCCTTAAAGTTCGTGTGTGAAAAACATATTTTTAAGTGTGCCTATCTACGAGTATAATACATAGTCATAGTGAGTATCGGATGGGGAGCATACTTTCAGTGTGATGTGCTTTGACAGTCTACACTACACACCACAAATATCAGGGACACTATCAAATAAACACAAGGCAACTGTTGACGTAGTGTCTATAAAAAGAATAGAGTCTGTACATGTGAAAAGAAATCGATCTTCCCCAACACCAATCTACCCTTGACCCAAATAAATAGGTATATAATGTTAATCACTTATATTTCCAATTAACTTATTATTTTTTTTTGGATTAAGCTTGTACATTTTGCCATCGCTTTTTGCCGGCACGTGTCAGGGATGCGCAATGCCCCTTAGTACAAATTATGTGGTTTAAGATAGCCGTGTGTTCCAATTTATCCCGCACGACTTACAACCAATAAGTGAACACGCTACACAGGGATATCCCCAAATCAACCAATCAAAGCTTTCCTTTTTTCCTTGTCCCTGGGTCAAAACACTGAGAAAATGCCGCATATTTTGTATACTTTCAGACTGCATTATCTTTAATAAAACTAACCTAAATAATGTTGATCGTTATGTAGTGCCTAATGCAAACCATTTTTCTAAATTTTTTACCACTTGTTTTAACTAAAAATAATGTTTTAATGTGTTTATTTGGGCGTTAAATGAATACACCAACCGAGATGGCTGCGTTACTAAATTTAGTATCTGATCAAAAGGCGGTGTAGCAGTGAGCCTGCGCTGTGTGGCTGAAGAACCACGCAAGTCTTGTCACCGGTACTACTTGCAATTGGTGGCTACTGTCCCGACTTTTTACAAGATTTATTAATAAACACATAGACTTATAAAAATAAATAAATAATAAATGGACACATATACAAAATATACGGTTTAGTAAAACAATGTCTGTGAAAACAATACCAATGGCGAAGCAAACATCCTATTTTTTATGCGGAGGGATGAAATAAATAAGTACGCTCGTTACTTCAAAATGTTAATAAAGGGTACTTCAATTTTTAAAATGGTAATATAAATTATGTTTAAATTTCATAAATGAAATTTTAGCACGAACAAGTACTTTTTCAATACATATGAAACACCATATTCCCAAGAGAGAAAGTATAACGACAACATGACCGAACCTCTCCTCTAAAACCCCTACTATTTTGTGTTAAGGGGAATAAATTTACACGCAAATTGTGGCCGCCATTTTGGCTAAGATCTTTTTGCTTTGCCAAAATTAACTGCGTTGAAATTTTGTTTTATATTTTTCATTATCAATCACGGTAAGGGAGATTTAATGGTTTAATTTTACAAGATATCAGAGAGCCTGTCCCATTTTTGATATGAAACAGTCATTGCATAGTAAATTTTGGTTATCGCACTTCCGCTGTGAGCAATAATCGCGGAAGTGTTAAATAACAACATTTGATGAATGGTAACAAAGTCGAAAATCCATTTATAGACAATTTATTTATTGTTTCTGATATTACCAACTCACACCTATAATCTTTTCTTTTGATCGATACAAATAGTATTCTTTCTCTTAGGTATAATAGGGATGAATGTTATATTGTAACGTCTTTGAAGCAAACATACCTATTATCGACTGTTTTAATTTTCACAACACTACATCCAAAACTTGTTTAAAATTTCAATGAGGTGCTTACTAAATCATCAAATAACATATTTTATGACACAATGTAGATAGTTTTTCTTAAAACAAAAATTTAGTGGATTTGAGCTTATTTTTATTTATAGGCTAGTTCAGTATAAGGCTAGACTAGTTAGGTAGAATTCTGATTTACTAGCCTCTGCCTAGTCACAGCCCTAGGACTGGGATTTCTTTAGTTTGATGACAATGAAAATCATATTGTTACATTTGAAGTTTGAGTTTGATCCTCCAGTCCATCATATTCTTATTGATCAAAGAATGTCAAAGGTCAATTCATTTCTTCAATGCCCTAGATTAGTTAGGCAAGTCAAATTTTTATTTGAATTGTTGACAATCCTGCACTCTCTGCTAATGTTGATCAAATCAATTGTTTCACCTTAAAATCATAACATGATAAAGTTATCTCAGTCTCATTCTTAAATAGACCTTAAATTTTTTAAATGTGTCATGATTGTAGGAAAAAAAGTAACTGGAAAATAAGTCACAGAAAAACTTTTCATTAATCGTAATTTTATTTGTAAGTTATTCCTTATCAATGTTTCAATGATAGACTAAATATCATTAATTGGAACTGAAAGTAACAGGAATAAAATTGATCGGAATAAATATCGAAGGGAAGAAAATAACAAAATATGAAAATCAGACATATTTACACAAATAAATACGCATTGATTGATAGTAACACATAAATTAATTAAAAGATAGAGTCTATGTCTGATAGCAAAATATTGTAAAAAATCATTTTGAATTATTTTTATGAGAAATTCAGAGGAGCACACTGGTAAATTCTAACAAGATGGGGGAAAAATGAATTTTTGTTTATTTTGATCCATAGCCACATTGACCAAATTGAAGCCATTGATTCTTTGTCTGGATAGATTTATCACTAAATTAGTACCACAATCAATGATCCCTTTAAGGTTTGCTGGTCCGTGTACAAAATCATACAGTTGTCGCGTGTGCAAAGTTTAGCAGCATAAATTCTTTGTGTGCAAAATTTTACAGCCCACAAACACACACACACAAACAGAAATTATATAAATGAACTTAAGTTCAGAAACCTTTATATTAGTAAATTAAGGAACTATAATTAAATAATTATCAGAAATGTCACAATAGTTCAATCAAAGCTATATTTATTTCTATTATTTATAACTAAATTCCAACACACCCACTACCAATGGCCGCTAGTCATTTGATTGACTCATTTCTGGAGGTACTCTGGCGTCTGTCTTTCAACAAAATCCATCTTCAATACGCATCGTCAAGGTTGATCTGATCTGATGTCCATCATTCTGATACAATTTAATCCTCATAAGCATGTCTAAATGTAACTCTTCCAGCCAATTTCAAGATTTTATTTTTATATTATTCATTAGGCTTAATCCACTTTCACAATCGGTGCTTGATGCAAGAAATGTAGCACAAAAATCCAACAGAATGGCAATTTCGCCGAATTGCTCCTCATTTATTACAAATCGAACCATCTTGTCGAAAGTCTACATCAACCCATATTTCATTTTTTTCTGAAAAAATTAAAATCTGAAGTGTCAATTAAAGCTGATATCTCAAAGATTCGCCATTGTATCGACTCATTTTCAGGGAAACGAGAGTCCAGGTGCAAACATAAACGTGCAACGAATTTTAGGGTGGAGCTCATGTTTATATCCTCGTCATTTTGCAAGCAATTCAGTAACCTTTCGGACCAGTGCACATTTTCACCATGGTACTGGGCATGGAGCTTAGCGATCCTCACTTTTACAAACTGGTATGCCTCAAAGATCGTAAGATTTTTTTTCTTTGTGGCAGCTTGCATAATTCATCAAGTTCACCAACAACTTCGTCAAAGACAATTGGTGCAGTTTGAAACTGCCGATCTTTAGTTTCTTCAAACAGTACATGTGAACTGGATTCCAACAAACACTGTCTTGTAAACATTACCAGGATATGGCCGAAACTTTGCGTATGAGATTGTTTTTGTCAGTGATATATCAGTGCTCTCATCTACTGTTTATGCGTAGAACTTTGCATTGCAGAGTACACTAATTATAGCATCCTTTACCACAGAATCGATACAATAAAAAAACTCTTAAGTGTAATTCTTACTGCGCCAAGTATCAGGGACTGGGGAATACTTAGCCATATGGTTGTGTATGTATTGAACCGCATTCAAAGATTTGTGATAGCCAAGAGGACTTCTTAAGCACTTTTACGTTGCGCTGCTTTTTGTCTCTTGCCTCGATCAGCGACACTTTCTGTAAGCATTCACAGTACACCTCCTGACTTTATAGAACGATGTCTCTGTACAGCATCTGTGTGTATATTTTGCTTGATATGTCGTTTAAGATACTGGTAATCCAATTTCCAAGCCTCCCACCTTTTCCCTGTGGAGAAATCCTCACCTGCATTAGCTTTGAAGCACATTTCACAGAAAACATCATCAATTTTAAGACATTTAAAGATATCACCCAGCTTGACAGTCAGCTCTGACGACGAATCTGGTAGTATTGCATGCACAAATTCATTGAGCCATTCCGTTGTTAAATTTGATCTACACTTTTTCTTAGCAAGCAATGACGCTGACAATTCACTTAACTGATGTTTAGACATCAACGGTTAAAACATTATTAAAAATAATTAGCTACTACATATATATAATGAACTAGAGATATATTTACTTTATACACATTCACTCAGTATACGCCATGAAATTTACATGAATGGCGGCGGTGGTTCAGAACGAGGCCAGCTTGATCTGGTATGTATAGGTAAGTATGTAAATCAATAGCTCTACATAAAAAGTAGAAGACAAAAATATAGATCTGAATCAAATTAAAAACATGGATGAATATGTTATAAAAACTTTATAATTCTGCCAGCAAAGTGTAGCGCATCCGTTTCAATTTATTTTTATAAAAATTTGCTGCGTGGATACTCAAAACTGCTGCGCGGCGTCTATGAGATAGCTGCGCGTTAAAGGGAACATTTACCGCAATGCAAAATCCCTTGATACTTTTACTATGTGAGATATGTCCATAAGATCAGAGGCAAGAATCAAATAACAATCCTTTTGGATGAGAGCTAATTCTCTGCCCAATCGCTTACTACCATTTATTGTTATTCTATCTATGATATTCATGTTTATTGGTTTCATGCATAACAATGTAACTGATTTTGAATAAATCATAGAATTAAATCTCTGCTTATAATATGTATGCATAAACAAATAACACACACATATTTAATCCCAAGCGAGAATCAAACCACGTTCTTAAACGAGCCGCCTCTTACTTCCATTTACTGATATTTAATGTATAAGAAAATAATATGTTCTTACAAATAAAATTTGGTTAATAAAATGTTTTTCTGTGACTTTTTCCAGTGACTTTTTTCCTAGCAAAACTTGTGTCTTTTACTGCTCAATGGGTTTAAAAGCCTTTTATTCGCTAAAACAATTTGTGAGAGATGGTCTATTTCCAAAAAAAGATGTGTGAAAGGTGTTAGTCAGTAGTAATTAGTAATTATTAGGTTAGTTATTAAATAAGATTTATATTGATGGGAAAAGAAGTACACAAACTTGTTTTGAAGCAAACTAAAAACATTTAACTAATCTAGAATAAGCTTGTTATAAAAGAAATTGTGACATAATATAAAACATGTTGTATTTAACAATTTATCATGAGATGTTAAAAGTTATGAGACATCCATAAGCAATGTCATGCTATTTTGACATATTTAACCCCCTCCCCTCATCACAAATTTGTCACTAAAAGTTAGATACCTTTGTCACACAATTTCACAATTACGTGACTCCCCCTCCCCGTCTTGATGGGCCACTAAGTCATGTGTGTAAATGGTTGACATCGCCTCTAAGAATAAGGTATATGAAAATCTGTACGCCTCATTAGTCTTATTTATAACATTTTACAATTGTCTTTTCAGACCATGATACTCTTTAGGGTATGATTAATGAATGTGTCATAGACCACAACGTACAATGTACGAAGGAAAAAACATTCATTATTCAAGCACAGACAGTAAGCTCTTATGTTCTTTCAGTGGAAAGCTCTGCAACCAGCGACGTCTCAATGGGTATGGATTCTGCATCAGGCATATTTTGGAGGACCCAAATGCTCCTTTTAAACAATGTGCTTATGTTGCGAAATCAAGCAATCAGATGTGTACTCAAGCCATCCCTAAGCATGAAGAAAGAAGGTATTAATTTGGTTATCCAGAGAAAATTAATTACTATTCTAGAATGGGGTTCCCAATGTGGGGATGATTTACTCTTTAGATACTTAGTAAAAAAAAGCCTTAAATAACGCAGTGTAGTCAAACCACATTTTTTCATACTTTGTGTTCCAAATATTCTGTTTTATGTAACTTTTCAAAACCTTTTTACAGAAATACACTTATAATTAATATGTTCATTTTTACTGTACATTAAACAAACTTATTCTGACAGTATTTAATTATTTTTTTAAGGTACTGCAACAACCACATGCAGGTTTTGGGAATGCTACCTAAGAAAGAAAGGAAAAAGAAGGACAAACCCATCACGGTGCCTGAAATCAAGCAACCACTAGTTATAAGTGGGGGAATAAAGGCCAAATTTAGCCTTTCAAGTGCTAAAGATAACAGTGTGCCTATTTTTAAGTCGAACCCAACTGCTGACGATCCTGATGATCCTTATGCTTTTCCAGATGCCGGACCAACGGATAACAAAACAAATGCAGGTTCAGGAAATATTCCCTTATCATCTGATAGCATATTAGGGAAATCTCTACAGTCGGGCCAAGGATTTGTAAGGTCTGCCAGCGATATAAGCAACACAAGTGGATTAATGGCAGGTGGTTCAATGATTGCCAAGTACTACCCAGAGCTTGCTGAAAAACTAGAAAAAATGAGGGCAAAACCTGAACCTAAAACAACAGCTAAAAGTAGAGCAAGAAGCTCTAGGACTATGAACAAACTGCAGACAAAAATAGCACAGAACAAAATAAATGAGAAGCTACGTAAATCTCATGAACTGAGTCAGACAGATTCAAATTCAAGCCCATTGCAGATATCTAGTCCAGAACAAAGCTTTGGCTTAGAACATAGTCCTAGTCCTGGATCAGGATTTAGTCCAGCATCTTCCCATACTTTCAGTCCTCAAGCTTCCACATCTGCTCCCTTCTCAGCAAACTTAATGTTGGCTAACTTTGAACAAGGACATTCTGCACAGGATATACCTCCGCTACCTCATGTTGACACCTCTTTCCTGGCTACTCTTGCAGCCCAGGATAATTTAGGTTTTCAGAATTCAGGGGTGGGTGAGACCGATAGGCTTGTCACATCACATACGCCCCCTCGACTTCCACCACCATACCCTGGCTCGTCGACACTTTCTACACCATGTTCGTTAGCGTCATCAGATCTTCCTGTCAGTGCCTTTAGCCCACAGACAAATTTGAACTGTGTGATAGAAAGTCTGAGTTCAGCTCGCTCACCACAACGAACTGCTATTACACAAGTTGGACCTTCTGGTCCCTCATCGTTATCAAGCTTGACATTTATTCCAGTAAATCCCCGTCAAACCAGCCTCCAAACCACTTCGGCAAGTTCATCCTTTTTGCCGTTAACTTCATCCTCATTTCCTGCATCAAGTGCCCCAAGCTACCATTTCACAACAAATTTGAACACAACGGGTGTCAAACTACCGAACCACATGACTTCTTCAGTTGCTCCCCAAAATGTTGATATTTTTTCTTTGTTAAGTTTGAACTCAAAGTTAAGCATGGACTCTGCCCAGTCACTGATGCTTCCTTCGCCCAACACTCTGGCTGCCCACTTAAGCTTACCTCCACCTCCTCCATATGTGCCTCCAGCACCACAGCAGCACAAAGTTACCTCGGCTGCTTTATCCACACCACCAGTAACAAAAGTGACCCCGGCCGTTGTTTCAACAGTGGCTTCTAAAAGATCAATCCCTCACACTAAACTTCACAAACTTAATGGGATTTTATCAGAAAAAGCTGCCAAAAAGAAATTAAAAAGTGATCTGGCAGTGAAGTTTTACTCTTTCTATGCCAAAAGGAAAATTAGCAACCACTGTATGATGGGACCTTGTAAGTATTAGTTTAAAAAAAAACAACACATCTTAATTTTCAAGGAGGAGGAAAAATACAAAAGTAATAAAATGTAATAAAATTTATTACTGTTTCATTAAAAAATTATTTTTTTTCTGATTCATAAATGGTTGTTTTTTAAAGTGCGATCTTTTTCAAGTATTGAGTATAAAAAAAATGAAAGGCTATCTTTATAATTTTGATAGGTTAATTCTTTTTACCAAACAAGAAATAGTCTAACTACAAATCAATATTGCACTGTTTGGTTAATATATAATGTTTATAATTTTACTTAAATGGCTGTGAAATATCTTGAAATGTTCTAAAGTTAAATACCATATATTCCAGATTTGTGTAGTTCAGATGATGATAGTGAAGATGAAGACATAGATATGCTACCTTGGCAGAGAGATGTTTTTTCAGCTTCATCAGACGAGGAGGCAGACAGCGATGATGAGTGAGAAACTCTGAATTTTTCATTTTAGTTTAAATGAAATTTAATTTGAAGTCATTAGTTTTAGAAGATACCCAATAATCGCTTAAATTACTGTTTGAAACACACCCTGCGCTGGTTGAATTACTGTGATGAACTGGCATATCTGCTTTCATTTTTTTTATATAATGCATGACCTTGCGTGATTTGTAAAAAATATGAATTTCAATTTTTTACTTGATTCTCTGATTTATACAGATTACCTGGAAAAAAAAGGAATATTTTTGGCCCTTTTATTACAGATAGATACTGAAAGAAAAATGTTTAATCGGATCGGAATTGGGCTTTTCCATTTTATAAAAATTCAAAATTGATTATCATGTCCAAAAGCCAATACAATTTTTCCAAAGGAAAATTCGGAAATCCAAATGTTGTTTAACATCCTTACAATCAATGTGTAGAGGGTCAGAAAATGCCTGGGGCCAGCCCACCAGGTGTGGAAAAAAATGTCTGAGTGGAATAGACTCGTTATCATTAGCCCATTGAAAAAATTCTGAGTAAAAAAAAAAATAAACTTGTTGTTTGTTGACCAGAAAGCAAAAAAATGGCTTCCTGATGTCAGAGGTTTTGGGCCATCTTCATGCAGAATAAATCACAGGACAAAATTGCTGTAATCTTTAGTGTTACATTAAGTTATTGCAGAAAACAGATCTGGAAATTTTAAAAACTGCAAAAAAAAAAAAGAAAACATGGCATGCTTCTTCTGATTATCAACTTGGACATTTTTAAAATCTACTTTCAATAGTTCAGCACCAAGGTCTTACCTAGTGCACTTCCCCTCATCTGCAATGCAATTTTGTCATCAGAGAAGAAAGTTAGGATTTGTTGGTAAAAAAAAATTGTAAAAAATTGTGAATGAGGTCTAACACCATTTGCCACTTATTTGGAATATGGAATCACACTGCCTCACATAGTCCAACATATTATGATATTAAAAAAAAGCCCCTATTCCCATAGTGTCATACATATTCTGTATACCATAAAACAGACCTGTTTACCCTCAAACTCTTAAAATTGTACAATATCATCACAAAATCGTTCAATACATTGTCTTAATAGTAAAAAAATTTAAACATACAATATATATAATGTATAGTGAATACACCTCAAAATCGTACATTGTAGCCAAGATTGTAAAAGTAATCAGGTCTGCATAAAACTTCAAAAAATTGTAAATATCTGTTCCTGTAAAAACATCTTTGACATCCAAATGCAGGAAAATTTATTTCATCTTGGTGTCAAACTTCCTAATAGGTAACACAAGGCAGTGACCACTTGTTGCATCGAAAGTTGGGTGCCTGGATAATCATATTATGTTTCAGCTTTAGAAAGAAATAATTTTTAATGCTTTGTGAAATTTGTTAATGGCTTAAATGTAAAATGATATCAAGCTACAATATTTGCTAATAAGGCTGATTATCGATTATTTGGAAATTAATTGGTGAGACTCAAGTGTACATATTTTGCATGCTATGATAATTCAGTTTTGCACTATGGTTGGTGAAAAGAAATAGTTTAGATACTTTTTTTAATGTGATTCTTCAATCCAGGTCAGGTTATTTTTTAGTTGTAATTTTAAAAAAAATACATTCATGTGCACACTGGTAGCAGTTAATCTAGATAAAAGTTAAGAAAACAAAATTTGTATACTTTATCTGTTTTTATTTCATAAATAAATAACCTTAACAAATTATTGTAATAAATACATATGCATTCCAAAATAGCTTTCAAAATACCTACTTGGCCTGAAACTGAACAAGAACGTTATATTTAAACATTGTACCAACATATAATGTTGTCGTGGTAAAGAACTATGTGAAAAGTGAACATCTGTGCTAAAATGTGCAATTGATGCTCATTGTTCCACCATGCTTATTCACTTTGCAATTCTCCTATTAAATGTGCTGTATGCATTTTTAGTGCGCTCAAATTAATGCAAGTCATTTAATTTGCCCACAGTTGAAGTTAGAAATTTTGGATCACTGTCAAATTAAAAATTAAAATGGATAACCTTTGATAATTCAGCTACTATGTATTCTCCAGCAGGCAGTGATGCACACTTGATATGTATCTTATATCCATCCTACTGACAGGCTAGAAAACGATGTTCCTATGGGCATGAGACCAACAAAAATTTCATTATTGAAAACCCGATTGCGTCGTCAGTGGTGCCAGGCAAAGCACGCTTACAAGATAAATAGTGCAGTGAGAAAGAATAATAACCAAGCGACGCTGGCCCTTATACGCACAGCACGTGATAGTGCAGCTTGTGCGGTGAGGGCCCTCTGGCAGATTACTCATGTGAAGAAATCAAAACGAAAGTAAATTAAAAGTATTTTTTACACTTAATCACTTGATATTTTTTATACACACAACCAATGCTCTGCATTGTGGGGTGTGGAAAATATTTGCTGTGGTGATGCATGACAGTTTAAAATCAGTTATTATTTTAAAATTAATTTAATATTGAAACGTGCCTACTCAGCTGGGTTTTTTTTATGGGTGCTACGTTAGATTTTAAAGAAATGTAGAAAAAATATTTAATTATTTTGTTGTTGCATCATTTAGAAAGAGTTATGAAACTCATATTTCTGTTCATAACCACAGATCAAAGAAAAGCTCCATTAAAAAGAAAATTTGCTGCCATAAAAGTGAGAAAGAAGGGCAGTGCCAAAATCAATGTCTTCCTTATGCCAACCACTGTGTTAAACGTATCCTTTTTGACTTGATTCAATCTAGATAGATCTGCAGTCTGTTTAGGATCATATGTTGTCAGCCAATTCTTTATTATAATACTATTACCTTCAATGATTTGAGGGGATCTTGCAAATGATAAGGAATAATTTAAAATTGCATTTGCAGGATATAAACTTTGATAAAATATTTTCATTGCATAATAATCCTTCACTTCAGGGGTTCTTAACCAGGGTACCTGCACCACCTTGGGTTGTGGGAGGAAGTTTCCGGTCGTGCAGGAAGACCCAGATTATTATTATTTTTTTTTTTGAGTGCAATTTTATTTTTTATCTTTGGGGAAAAAAGGGGAGGGGGGAGTGCATAAAAAATATGTTTTGAAATTGAGATTTGGTGCTGGAAATGTTTTGAATTAACAAGAGGGTGGTGTGCTGCACAAAAAGTTAAGAACCCCTGCCTTACTATTACAACCATCAATCTTCAGTTCCCTTTAGCTGAAGCCTTGTCCAAGTGAAAGCATCTGACTTATCGCACAAACCTACCTTCCTTGATTCTAACCAGATATTACATACAATATCAACCAACAGCTCTTTGATTTTTGTACAGCAAAGTTTGCTAACAATGTCCAGTGTTGTCTACCATCATTTGACCTCCGCCATGAGCTGGCCTTATGTCAGGAACATGCTGCAAAGGCTGTAAGTAAATGTGGCTTAAAATGGGAAATTGAAATTCTTCTGGTATTTTTTGGAATGTAAAATTTTCAACATTTATGATGTCAGATTTAATATTGATTATAAAAACAAATAAATTCACCAAATCATTAAAAATTCAGTTTGAGAAATTTTGGTTTCAAAATTTTATTACAATTTTTATTTTAATATTTTAAATTCATCATTAGCTCAGGCCTGCACAACTCAAAATGTAAGGCGGGCCGTAATAATTTATGAAAAACTTAATGCGAGCTGAAAGATGATGGGGGGGGGGGAACTATTAAGAAAATATAATAATAAAAAATATTTCGTTACTTCGCTGGCCACCATGTGAGTGCTGGCAAGCCGTATGTTGTGCAGGCCTGCTTTAGTTGATCGTATTATAGCTATTTTGCCACATATATCAAATAAAAGGTGGAGCAAATAATAATGGTTATTGAGTACGACTATTGAATTAAATAAGATGTAAAAATAATTGTAATATTAGTTAGGACACTAAGATAAAATTTACAGTTTCTGTTCCTCATGTCTCTTCTTATCATTTTGCATTGCTCAAGGACAACTATCAGAAACAGTTAGAACTAGAAAACAAGAAGAAACCTAGGAAGAAATCAAAACCACCAGCTCTCACTAGACCTCCTCGTAAAGGCAAGAAGAAAAAGAAAGGTCGCTATTCAAAAGCTCAGAAGCCTCTTCCTCCACCTGTATCTATAGGTTTGGATTCAAGTGAGTGTAAAAACTCCTATGTTTTTATGTAATAAATTGTAGTGTGGTTTACACATTATAGAAAGGATCATATATGATAATAATCATATGTGATATTAAGAGGATCTTATATGATATTAAGAGGATCATACATGATATTAAGAGGACCATACATGATATTAAAAGTTGTTAGGATTAAATTTAGATTTATTTAATTCACTTGCATTCACTAAGTCTATATCTTTATCAACGACGAAAAAAAAAAAAGGACAAATGTGAAATCTGCTTCAAAGAAATTGAAACCCAACCATGTTATGAATGCTCTTACCTCTCTGTTTATTTGACGCTCACCAAAGCTATATGTTAAATTTTTTAAAAGTCATTACAGTAACACTAGTAAATTTTGGCTTTTATCTGAAAAAAGGTTTGTTTACTCAATGTTTTTTTTCCACCTTAAAAACAAGCTATTTCTTTGCTCAGCTCTTTCAGATGTTGATGTCACCAGTATAGATATTTCTAAACCTGAAGAAAGCCCAGATACATCTACCTCTACAAAAGAAAAGTCTTCAAACTCAGTACCTCATCAACCTTCTGTTCTTCCATCAAGATACACAACTGAGGCCAAAGACACCAATAAAAACTTAGACCATGCCTTGGAGCTAGCAGAAGTGTTATCACCTGGTAGGCTGACATGGTCATTATAAAATGAGTAAAACAGAGTAGGGTTAAACCTACTCTGTTTTACTCATTTTATTTTGTACTAACCTGATTGCAGTCTCTCCCCTTATTACCCCTGACATGGTCATTGTTGACATTTTTTAAACTGCATTTGATCTGAAGTTTATTGAAATTCATTTGTGGAAACTGAACTTCAGAGCATTGTTATTTTTGGCTTTAACTGATGTAACTGGATGGAAACCTCCCCCATTTGATGTATTTAAATTATGATTGCAAAGTGAAATGTGAGAGGAATCTTTTCCAAACACATGTGTCAATTTGATGCTATAAAATATCTGGGTTATAGATTTTTGTATCCCCCATGCTATCTATGGTGGGAAAGATATTATTGCTAAGAAAATTAACTATAGAAAAATGTATGAATTAAAAAATGAGAAGCAACAGTATATGAAATGATATAATTCATTAACTTAAGTTGAAAGGAATATAAAAAATGATTCGCCTCTTAATTTTTCATATATTGAGTTGAATAAAATAAAAATAATGAATATTCTCAATCCCCAGAAGTCACAAATCTTAATGAGAACTATTAATTCCATGACATAGCTAAGAGAATTCACCGAATGGCTGTTTTTTTCACTTGTGAAATAATTTAATGTGCTGAAAAGGTACAATACAATCAAAAAACATTTCCATTTGTTTGGATCAATAAAAGAATCTCATCTATCTTATTTTTTAATGCTTAGATTTTGATAAGCCGTTTGAGCTTCCCCTTGAGCAAGCCTCCCGCCTTCTGGAGGAATCTGACTTTCAAGAAGTTGTTAACAAAATGCCATTTGATGAACTTGATCTTTTTGGTAAGTAAGATTCATTTAAATAAAGATCGGACACCTTTTAAACTGAAGAACACTTAAGAACTTTTAATGGCCTTTAGGTGTTTCCATTTTAAATAATACATTCTTAAACAAACACATCATCATTGTTAGCTATTACTGGCTTTATAAAGTCATCACAGATACTGCTATATAACTTTCTGAAATGATATTTGGCTAGGTTAGTTAAAAAGTGATCTTGCAAAAGGAATTATGCTGTGCAATTTATTAATTACGGACTTTGCAGTTCTATTTGTTAGTCACTTTAAACTAACCTGCAATCTTAATATATAAAATTGTATTTGAAAAGCAATCCATACATTAAAATAGATTTATCTTTATTTCTACATGCTATTAGGTCAATGATTTTTGTCTCTTCTTCCTTAAGGTAAAAATGGTGATCCTGACCAAGATGCTGACCATTTGGGTATAGACTTGGTGTCTGCCAGCAAAGCTCGAGATGCTCTTGAAAAGCTCTTATCAGGAACTATGTCAGAAGAGGAGTCCTTGCAGCTGGCTATGGTGTTGGCCCAGAATCTTCAGACAGATGACCTGTCACACAATGATGTAATTCCCAACAACAATGCTCATGGTGACACCCGCTTGATGTCGGGAGCTGAGATATCAATGGGCTCTCACATGAATGAGGCATCAGACATGGACTCTAATAGTATGGAGCACCAAATCATGAGCATGCACCCTTCTAATCTATCAGATGGTTCAGGATATGGGATTTCTCACAGTGCTCTTCACTCATCTTACCAACAGCAGATACTGACATCTCAACATTCTGGTGTTTTGCAGCAGCCACACTTGACTACTGCATCTTTAACTTTGGGATCATACAGACAGATGGACAGCCAGAAAATGTCAGAGTTATCACACCAACAAATTCAGACCTCCATGGCTTCAGGTGGAAGTACACTGCAGTCTATCGATGTAATGCCACCTGTTTTAACTGCTGACTTGAATGCAGTGTATGGACAGATAGAAAGCCTAACAAGGTCACAGCTAGCAGCCAAGCAATCTTCTGGACTGAATCTCAATCACATATCAGGGCTTGATTCCTTTACCACCACAACTGCTAAGACAGTTATACGCCATCTACCCACAGAGTCTCAGCCTGTGTCCTCAGTGGCAGGAAGCCCCTCCAATATATATGTAGGCTCAGCAAAAAATGTTTATACCACTTCTCAAAGCATGAGTTCGTCTTCTTCAAGCCAGTTGCCTCCTCAAATGAGTCTGGATGTTGCCAGAGGTGCTGCGCACCCAGATACAGCTGTAACTACTCATGGGTTCAACACATCTTCATTACCAGCCATGAATGCCCATCTGAGGACAAGTTCTGTGCCACAGCTTCAGAACTTCACAACATATTCATCCTCTTCTACATCATTACCATCATCAGAATTATCCTATTCACTGTCATTGCCTTCTAATGCCAAGAAGGCAAAACTGGACTTGAGTTCTCAATCTGTGATACCTAATTCAAAACAAGTCCAGCAGCATATTCAAAACCAGAAACTACAGCAACAGCTCCTGCAGCAGAAGCAGCAGCAAGGCTCTACCAAGGTGAGGAGCATGCTGCAAGTTCCTGCAGCATCTTCAAACACAAAACTTACATTGCCAGAGGCTAATAGAAACTTTAGACAACCTGATTCTAAATCTCCTGCGTCACCGAAACCTAAAAACTCACAATCTCCGTCCTCTAAGCAGAGACTCACTCTTCCTGTTACACAGTCGATGCAGCAAGATGGATTTCTCTCAAGCTATACCCAAAAATCAACTCTATCTTGTGATAGTTTAAAACTCAAGCTCCCTACTTCTAATGCAATCCTAAATGAATCTAATCAAAGTCGGATTACTATATCTGAGAGTACTATGTCCTATCAGATAATGAATTCAGTTTCATCATCTCACTCAGGACCCATGACCAGTAATACGGTGAGATACTCTGTGATACCAGATGGCACACCTACTTCATCATCCTCATTGTCCTCCCTAACATCCACCACAACTATACGACACAGTCTTCTTGGAGAGCCTGGTAATGGGGCCTCCGAGTCCATTTCTGTTACAGTACGTCATCCATCTCCTTTGGAATCTGTACCAACCACTGTCAGGCATACGTTGCCAGACACATTTCCAACACCTATGACTTTACCTTCTTCACCTGCCCTGCCATTACCTCATAAATCATCCACAGTGTCTTCATCCCTGGAGGCGAACCTCCAGTCCAAAGTAGCCACAGGAAACATGAATTCATCTCAGTCATCCAATTCTCTCACATCTCAGTGGAGCTCCCAAGGATCATTGGCAGCAAACATCAACCTCCAAAATGGACTTCCGTTTGCTGCTGGGTCATCTCGAACACAAATTGCGCATAGATTTAGCCCTGCTGGTCAGGGTAATGCCAGGAGTAAGTCGAACAATGCAGCTGCTGAGGCAGCAAGGATTACAGCTCTAGCCAATGCTGCAGGGGTGCCTGTGGTTTGTAGTCCTGTCTCCTTACCTGGTCTTGTCCAGAGCCTTTCAACTGCAACTTTTAAAAGCAGTGGGTCATCATGAGTGTAGTTTTTTTTAGGTAGAAGTAGTTGAATTTGTTCATTGGAATTAATTGTATCTTATTTCACATAAGCATGTTCAGTTCTAATCTAACCTTACTTTTATTTGTAATAAGATTTGTTTCTATTTAGTCACAGAGTTACTAAGTGATTGTACCAGCAAAAGTATATTTATATAGAAACTAAGATGCAAAGTATATAGTCATATTTATCAGTTTTTAATAATAAAATTATCTGCCAATTTTAGACCATTGAAAAATAATAATAGTAATAAAGATTAGCACAGATCCTGTTATTCAATGTTCTCGTAATCTCCCATCTGGTTTATTTGGCATAGATAGAATTTCATGAGATTGGAAAATACTACACGTGATTATAGCATGATGAAGAGAATTAAATTTATACCATTGTGAACCAGTGGGTATACGTTATTGAGGCATTACATTTACATAATTTTAATATGTAATGTAATTTTAAAAAATCAAATCAGTGAACTAGTTAGGAAATCTTTAAAAAAACTTGGATTTTAAATGAAATGTTTTTTATTAATCATCACATTGCAACAATTAATTTAATTTTGTTTACATAATGCTCAATAAACTTAACTCTTCCATGACATTTCTAAGAGAAAATTATGAATAATTAAAAGGTAATTTACTTACTTCTTGAAAAATAACTATGACTTTAAAGAGTATAAAAACTTTAAAGTTCTAAATTTAAGTTGGCTATGGAGCAGTTGTGAATGTTACAAAATCTGAATTGAGCATAAGGCACTTTTAATGCTATAGTTTACTACTGGTACATATTTTTCCTTTGTGAATAATTAGCAATTGTCGACCTCAAGAGTAGGAGATAGCAGATTTTTATTTCATGCCTTGTGGAAACTCCTAACATTAATGGAAAGCAACATCTTGTGAAAGTCTAGGGTAGAATTAACAAACTATAGATTATGACATCAAGCTAAATTTTAATAAAAAGAAATGATATTTAAATGGCACGGTTAGACAATCCACTGTGCCCCACCAACGCCTTCTCAATTTGTGTCTAAGGTCTCCATACCTTCTAGACAGCGCATTTTATTTCTTCCTAGCTGATAAATAAGCTTTCTGTTTCTTTGATCCATGAGTCTGAGGTTATATTTTGTTCTGAAGTGAGTGTTAGTGTTCAAAAAACCATTGTCCAATTTCTTTCTGTGCATTTAAAACTTCTCTAATGGATATTCATGGGATATATGATATAGATATATCAGGAATTTCTTGAGTAAACAAAACATTACTGTGCCCTTTCTGTAATAATCATAAGTTGGTCATATTTCATAACATTCTTTGTGTGGTACGCAGAAAATGATTTAATCTTTAAGGATGTTTATTAAAGAAGTTAATTATAGAAAATTGGCAAGGTTCATGTAGCTACTTGTCTGTACCATTTTTAGAAGTTAGTTACAGTACCCTACTATTGCTAAAGATGACCCATGTAATTCGTTAGCTCCTATCACAACTATAAGAGATAGTTTCTCACTGGGTTGCTCTTCCGTGTATTTTGATGGAAACATTAAAAGATAAACATAGCTTAAATAATGTTAGCAAAACTGGATTATTGCTTACAGAAATGTCTGTACAAGCAGCTCAGTAAGTTTATTTAATGTCAATTATAATTGTATCGTCAAATGGTGTTAAAATTGTTCAACTTTTTAAAGTTCTTACGTCAGAAGATTTATCAAATAATTTTTTTCAAAAGTATATAAGCGCAATAAATTATATATTATTATCTTATTCATTGGCGTAAACAGATTTGATGAGTTAAATTTTTTGTTGTTTTTTACTTGCTAAGCTGACTTTATCATTTTAAAAAATATATTCACTATACTGTTTACCATTTTCATGACTGTATTCAAATAAAAACCACAAATTTGTTCTCAGTGAGGAGTGTAAAGGATATTTATTAAAAGAACTGTGAAATTCTTGTAAAATAATTTTGAATTTTATGTAAAAGGAAAAATGCTACTGCAAAAAATAAAAAAATAAATGATTCAAAGCACAATAAGGATTTCAAGTGGAGATGATTGTACAAGATAATAGAAAGAAAAAACAAAGAACAATCCTGTTAATGAATTGAAGAAAACCATAATGTCACTAGGTTCAAAATAAATTTTAATTATAATTTTTTGACATTAAGTATAAGCAGTTCAGACACTTGGAAATAATGCCAGTTGAGAAATGATTTGATAACTTTAAAAAAATGTGTTATAGTTTAGGGATTAGCCAAACTAAAAAATGGTTAATTTTAAAACATTTGGCTTTCAATCATAATAGCAGCAAAAATTTGGATGAAAATTAGCGAATGTGTGATACATAATTTCCTCCAAATGTGATAACTAATTTAATTAATACACATTTTCTAACAGTTGAAATTAATCATAGCACTCAAATATATTTACAAATTAAAAAAAAACTATCTTTTAATATGCCAGCTTTCAGTATTGTTACTACAATGGTCTTTTAGAATTCTGTATTTGTTGGTGCAAACAAATGTTCAATGTTGTAATGGGGCTTTAAGACATTTTTTGCCTAAATATTTTTTGTCAGTGAAATTTTGAATAATGACAGTTACTATTATTGTTTGGAAATGATTACCAGATCAATTACAACTAATGATTTGTTTTTTTAATGGAATAGGGTACTGTAAAACTTTTTTTTTTTTTAAAGTTACTAAATGCACATTTGTTACTATGTAGCAAATTCTAATTTAGTTACTAAAAAATTATAACATTTAGTAAAAAAAATATTTTTTTGAAAGCTAAATAATTATTCTTTATATCCTGTTCACTGGAAAATAATTTTAAGTTGTATTTATTTTTCAGTTTGGTCCATTTCATTATGGATGGGTATCAATTTTTCATTAACCCTGAAATCTGTAATTCAATCATCTTTTTTTCATCTATACAATTACAATGCCATTATATATTTGAGCTGTGGGAAGGGAAGGATGAGGATCTATCTTGTACAACATTCTATATTTGTTTCCCATTGTACATTTTAAATTTAACTTACAGTAAGTTGTTGTAAATTTTGTTCAATTATCACTCATGAATTGTTGTTTTTTTTTAAATTTGGTGATGTGCCAATTCTAAAACCGTTGTTAATGCCAAGTGTATTCAATAAGCTGAATCACTTTCCCTCCATGCCGCACAGATGTCTGAAGTTTACTAGCAAAAATTATCACACAGTGCTCTCTTTGAAACAGTAGCATTTGAGTAATGCAGTCTGCAGATGTGTTAAAAAAGTTCTCAAGAGAGTTCAATTAAATCATTGGATTGGATGGATCCCTAACATTTCCTAGCTATAGACACCCCCCCTCCGCCCCCATTTTTAAAGAGTATAATTCACATAGCTCACTACTAACAAAAATAATTTGATATATGATTTTAAAATTCTGTGGTCACAAGTTTGGGTAACAGCACTATTTGAACTTTAAATAATTTTTTTCAAAGGGTCATATTAAAAGCCATTTTCAATTTCAGTTCATTCTGTCCAGGCTGGGAAAAAAAATTGCAATAAATTGCACAAGTTGCTGTTTGGTTACTGTACAGAATATTTGTTTATATGGATCTTTAAATTGTTAATTGAATTTTCTAATGGGACTACAACAAAATGTGTGACCAATTGTAAGACACATTTACAGTTAATTTAAACCATACACATTTCAAGACTTGTTTGTGATTTTGAAACAAGATATCTTGCCTTCATATTAAAAGAAAAGATTTTAAAAATCTGTGACGGACAGGATAAACTGTTCATATTTAATGACACACCAACAAACAAACAAGTTTTATTGTGATAGTTCTTGTTAGAAGGTTTTTAAAGCAAGTTTTTATGGGTATTCACTGTCACATTGTTAACAGATTATATGGTGTATATAATTTCTCAGTGCAATGTTTATCGTACATTTCTTTTTAATAAGCAAAAATCAGTGTTGTACTTTTAAAACATTATGGGTTGTAAAGTAATACAAAAAAGCATTTAAGATTTTGAATGCTAGAAGACTAATTTGTAAAAAATGTCATATATTGAGTTAATTTAAAACTACTGTTGAATGTTGTTATTCTCATTAAAATTTGTAGCTGCTAACCGAATTTTGTGAATGTTTATTGACTAGGAATAAATAAACAATTTTATACCTAAAAATTTTGGTTTCCTTGAACTTAATTGTTTTGTTTCACCTGTACAAGTTTTCAATACTGTATGATTCGCAATGTCATAAAAATACTTTTAAATGTCATGATTAGAGTGAAAAGATGATGGAAATCACCTAAATTGGTCATCACGGATTGAAAATAATAAAATAGAATTCTTCACCCAACACACTTACAGTCCATTTAAGCTTACCTCGCCTCCTCATGTATCTCCAGCAGCACAGAATTACTGTGGCTGCTCTACCCACACCACAAATAACCAAAGTAACCCCTGCTGTAGTTAAAACAGTATCTTCTAAAACAAGTTATATTTTAACTGATTTTTTTTTTTTCCGACAAGACTGAAACTTTTCATAGATAACTTTTAAAACAAGTAATGAAATGAATATTCGTAGTTTGCAGGCTTCCATTTATTTTTTATATTTTATTACTGAAATAAAAATCCATTTGACAATTAACGTTATCATTTGAGACAAAGGAACAATGCATTTCTTGCAAAACATTACCTTATGACATTTTCATTACATTTATACCAAAATATAACATGCAATAAAGAAACCTCACACAAAGCTCTCAGCACATTTTACCCAGCGTGGTTGAAATTATAGTTTCATATTTATGGTCTTGCTTTAGTAAAAACTAAAATTTTACAAGGAGATAATTACATTCACGTCAACTAGAGTTGTTAATGAACATCTTAAAATGCTAGTGTTTTTGTGTTGCATAAACACATTTTTTTTTTACATAAATGCCATTGCATTCCTTATAATAAAAAATATCCAGACTGAACAGGATTTTATTTTTTGACACTACTCACAGTTCCACTTGGCTTTAAAATCAGTTTGTGGCAATACAGATACCATGTTTTTTTTATATAAGAAGACGAGCTGCGCTCAACTAAAGAATCCCGCCGTAGCAAATGATCAGAGAAAACCACTGCACTAAATGTATCTTTGTACTCTTCAAATTTGTCTTTTTATTTAGAAGCCCATCAGTTTCACTAGTTAATTTAATTTATTTGCTACTTGTTTTTTGAAAGAACAAAAACTACTAGAGACTCTAGTAATCAATATCTCAAGACCTGCTCTGCTTCTTTCTGCCGCCTCAGTAATTCTGCTTCTTTTTCCTGTTGCTCCAAAGCTATCTCAATTTCTTTAACTTTTCTTTTCTCTTCAAGTCTTGTTGGCCTTACGTCTGAAAGATGTTCAAACAAATTTGTTACCTAAATATGAAATAGTGTAATAATTTCCAGCATCAGGAAACCTGCTTATACTGTTACTGCAGTCTTTTTCGCTGCATTTAAGTTATTACTCAAAACATTAATAAGTAAAATATTATGCATACTTACTTGAAAAATAGCTAAAGATCTGATAAGTTAACAATATAGAACCAGCCACTGTTATTCCCATCATAGTCCTTACTGTCCACAAGTGAGCCTTGTCTAACAATGCTGTTTGTTTAGCTTTCTTCATGGTCAGAGTTTTCTAAAATAGATGAATCCTTTATAAAGTTAGTCAGTGAGTTAATCACCCAGTCAACTATGTACTTGTTATAAATTATTGACTAGTTTATTCCAAGTATAGACAGTAGGACATGCTAGTTTATTACTTTCTACAGAGTATATACTAGTTTAATCTAAGTATAGACAGAGTGAGACATGATAATTTACACTAGAGCTCTGCAACTTGTTAGTTGCAAGAAGGTTCAAAGTGTGCCACAACATAATGCCTCCAATAAAAGTTCAGAGTTTAAGACGGGTAAATCATTGACATCAATATTGTAAAAGTATGTTTCATAGAAAGATAACAATAATTAGCTCCTAACCAAGCTAACAAACTTATGCATGCAGTCACATATCAAATATTCACATATCAACTATATTTGATATGTCGAAAGTTTGGAATCAGTATTTAAAAAATATAAAGGGAAAAAAAAATGTTTATTCAATAACTGACGAGATAATGTATGTTTAGCTGCAAACATAAATCATAGATATAATGTATTTGTTGCTGAGAACTCAATTTGAGGTTATTAGTTTAGATTCTGACTGCAATTAACCACTCCACTAAGTTTAAAGCATGATTGCTTCATTATAAGACAAGATTCATTTATTGTTCCAAATAAAAGCAAATTTTTTTTTTATCATTTCAATGTACATATTTATTGATTTTCAGCACATAAATAAATACATACTTGAACCAAGACAACATTCGATAATTATATCAATTTAAACACAAGACAACTATCTAAAGTATTTCTATAGCATGGAAATTAGTCCTAAATATACTCCCTTAGTGAAACTGTTTACTTAATTAGTGATCATTTAGATTTGGTAACCATTGGGGAAGCATGCTGGTAAATTCATACAGACTGGGGAACAAAAGAATTTTGAAATCTTCTAAGCCTAAATTTAGGAGAGAGAATTCGTATGATCTTATGTTTCTGTATTTTCTTAACAGCAGATCTTGAAAGGAAAATAAAGGCGTTGGGGATAAGATGCTTCAGAAGCATTTTTGGCATCTGCTATAGGGACCATATCTCCAATGATACAGTGAAAAAAAAGGGTTCGCCAGGCAATGGGGGAGTACGATGACCTACTGGTGACTGTGAAAAAACGTTCTACTACAATGGTACGGCCACGTAACAAGGAAACAAGGGCTTGCCAAAGAAATATTGCAGGGCACCACAAGAGGTGGGAGGAAGACAAAGAAAAAGATGGGAGGATAACATCAAAGAGTGGACAGGACTAACACTGGGCGATGCTGTGCGTAATGCAGAAGACAGAGACGAATGGAGGAGGATAGTTCACATGTCATCTGTGGCGCCCCATCGGTCCACGGACTTAAGGGACATGATGATGATTTTCTTATGTTGATATTGCAACTGAAGCTTATTTATATTTAATTTTTCTGTTTCATATTTAATTTTTTTATCTTTATAATTATTAATTTAATATTAGTATTAGTATTAGCTATATTATTTGGTATAAAATTTCTACTGGCTCATGTTAGTTTCATGAGTTTTCTTGTAGTGTGTCGCAGGACTCTGGACATGGCCTACAGCAGAGCTGCTCATGGGCCCTGCAGCTCCTACAGCTGCAGTGGGTCTCTGATAATTTTTAAGGTTAAGTGTCCAATGTTATGATGGGTAAAAAATTTAGGCAATCCTTTAACGCCGGTCTGAAATTCAAAACACTATTAAAACACATCAAATGAGAAGTTACTTTGGCAGTTTAATGATGTTTTACCAAGTACATGATCAAATGTGATAATTGTCACTCAACAACTATAAGGAATAAATACTGCCTGAAAACATGTTCATTGTGGCTATAGCGCAACTGGAAAGCACGTAATTAGCTTGGAAACAGGCTACGGCTTGTTCCACTTTAATAACGCAATTTACCATTGGCCTGCATCCAAATTCCCTTCATAATCTGAGTCTGGATTTCTGGGTGAACAGGATGTATGAAATCTTGGGCATGCACTATGACATCATGCTAATAAACTCAGTTATTGATTAGATTGACATCGACATCAGCATAGCCACCCTTTTGTATCAGTAACAATTACATTTCCTGGAAAGGCATAATCAGTTATAATGCGTACAAGTATTGTCGTATTTCTCAGCTCAGCGCTACAATTTCCAACCAACATCGACCAGTAACATCTTCCCCAATTCCTCAAAGTTTATCAATGTGGACCAAACCGTAACTTGTTTCCAATTTACTTGTATGCTTTCCAGGGGCTCTTTCACAAATAAAAAAAAAGAAGACAATTTGAACATGTTTTCTGACAGTATTTGAAGTTGTAGAGTGACAATTATCATTTTTGACCAAGCGCTAGTAAAACATTATTAAACTTGTTGAGTGACAATTATTAATCACATTTGACCATTTACTCATGGAAAACATTGAACTGACAAAGTAACTGCTCATTCCATGTGATTATGTTTTGAATTTGGGCCGGTGTTAGAAGAATTCCCAAAATTTAAACCCTATGAACTTTGTATGCAAGGGGCACAAACCGATAAGTGGCAGGGGATGGGATGTCCAAGAGGCATGCGATGGTTCTGCCTAATTAGTAATTACACTACTTACACTTTGTTAACAGTGTGAGTGTTGCATACAATACTAATACTAGTGTCTGTACTCATTTTAGTAAAGTATGTAGGTCTACCCAAAAACGCTGCGCTCAATTTTAGTTCTATTGCTAACAAACTCACACTAGTAGCCTAAGTAGCTCACACTGATTATCACTAATATCTCTCATACATCATTGATAGTCTGAGTATCACTACTAAACGTCACTACTACTATCAGTATCAGTTTAACAAAAAACAAATAATAAAATATAACAATTACAATTACGGCTAAAACCGAGGACGGCTGCCACGGCATCTTTTGTCATTTGTGTCTTTATTATAGTTGCAGTGAATTAGGGTTTAGGTTAGGTTTAGGGATCGATTTAGGGTTCAGGTTAGGCATAGGGGTCGATTTAGGGTTCAGTTTAGGCATTGGGATTGATTTAGGGTTCAGGTTAGGCATAGGGATCGATTTAGGGATACATTCGTGATTCGTGAAATTCGAAAAAAAGTGGCAGGCGTCCCCATTTTTAACCACAATAATAAGTCTCAATGACTTATGTGAAAGATTTGTTTTATTTTAAATGTGCCTACTTAATTAGCATGAATTTTCACTGGGCATTTTATTTATGAAATGTATTTTGGTTACATCAAGCATTACATCTAGAGGCCTAATTATATTAAAAGTATCATGTGGGCATAAAATTATAACATTATAACATTTTAATTTCGCTTTCAGTTTTAGGTTAGCATACCTCTTCTTTTTTCGGAGGTCAAATAAATGACTTATCAATAATTCTTACTGTAACTTCAATTTTTAAGATGTTATTTTTCACAGTTTAATTAGGAAATTGTTAAATCAAAACAGGCTAATTTGGTTAATTTTTCACAATATATTCTGAAAATAACATAAACGACTGTAAGATTTAAAAAGTAATTTTATTGAATTTAAATTAATTAAAATTATCATATTTTGAAGTAATTTTTTAAAAATATTTTCGGATTTTTTCTTATTTGTTTTTTAAGTATAAAAATGGAGTCCTCCATGGGACTTTTAAAACTGTCATTTTCTGTTATAATTATTTTGATTATTGTATTTGGAATTGTTGTTTCGGAACCACCATGCTCGCGACCATCTTGTAAGTATTTTGATTGGAACTAATTTGGTAAATAAGGAGAATAGTACCCGCGATGGCCACCATATTGGTAGACACAACCAGTTAATACTGTCACTAAACCTAACCCTAAATCGATCCCTATGCCTAACCTGAACCCTAAATCGATCCCTATGCCTAACCCTAACCCTAAATCGATCCCTATGCCTAACCTGAACGCTAAATCGATCCCTCTACCTAACCTGAACCCTAATTCACTGCAACTATGGCGGCCATCTTGGGTACCGTTCTCCGCCTTAGCCACTAATTTTTTTGATGTGTTTTACTTAATTGCTTTTCTCAACCTCGAAAAAATTAGCAAATAGGTGCGGGAATTCTGAATTAAAAATTATGTAGCATTTTTCATTTTAGTTAACGGAATGGGCATGGGTTTGCAAGAATTTTCTCACCCTAAGCACAGTGACATCACATTGGGCATTGGGGAATCCCAACACTTTATTTAGGGTGAATAAATCTATTCTTAGAAGGTCCCAAACGATGTGTGTTATAACATTCCTGTTCTTTAGTCTTTATTAAGCATTACTGCATCATAAACAATAAGCTTATAATAATACTTACTTAATATGAAGTATATTGAAATGAAATTTTCCATTAATTAATTCTCTGGTCTCCCCCAGTATCCCTCCCCAATTTAAAAAAAAATATATAAAATAAGAAAATAATAACTTGCATTCTGTAAATATAAACATCGAAATCCTTTTAGTGTGGAACTGTAGACGGTGCTGTAGACGGAAACGAACCTAAGGGAACCTCTGTGACCTATATAATAATAATAATAATAAAGATTTTTAAAAAATCACGCTTCATCCCCAAAGGCTCGAAGCGCGGTACATACCACATTGAAGTACAAAATTCAACATTACAAAACTACATACCTTGCAACCATAAATACTGTGGAACACATCGTCAGCCTTATGGCTAGCTCAAAACCAGCCTTTTATACACTAAGACTTAACCTGGAGCAGTTTTTTTTTACACATGGTTTAGGTATTTTAAGAAAATACCCAATGGGTGGGTCAAAGTGAAAAGAGTAAAAAAAAAAAGAGTTACCTTGTAGATATAAATAAAATAAAGTTATTACAGTTATATAGAGCAAACTTCAAATAAAAAAATGCAACCAGTGAACCAGTATCAAGTTTCAAGACTTAGGAACTTTTTTAAGATATGAAGTGTCTACATGTCCGTCCGGTGACCAGATGAATAATTTTCGAGATAATCGTCTGGCAACCAGGTCACATGACCGCCATAACAAAGTTGGGCCAGATATATGTCCGTCAGCCTTGTCACGTGACAGCTAATAGTTGATCATAAAACTAGCATCGGAGATGCATGGGGGGCGATGAGTATACACTTCATTTCAAGAAATAAGTTGGGGGGGGGGGGGAGCAATGTCCGTCAGCCTTGTCACGTGACAGCTAATAGTTGATCATAAAACTAGCATCGGAGATGCATGGGGGGCGATGAGTATACACTTCATTTCAAGAAATAAGTTGGGGGGGGGGGGAGCAATGCATACTAAATGGAAGAAATACTGAATACTGAGAGAGAAAGGATAAAAATGATAGTGAGGGTCATAAATAATTAAGTCGAGGAGGTCGAAAGTTCACAAAGAAATAGACCCTCCATCTTACTTAATATAGGGCCAATAAAGTGTGCTGTTGGGGTAGCCTACTTCTCACGCAATATTAATAGTCTAAAATAATTTTTTTTTGACAGATCTATTGACAGTCAACTGGCAAGTATTGGTCTTTTTTTCTTTGGTTCATAATTTAAATTTAGGCTACTAGGTAGAGCTTTGTAAGATATTGAAACCAAGATATCAGATTTAAAAAAAAAATTTTTTGCCGGCAACCGCTTGTCACATGACATGTCTGCCGGAATAATAACACATACTAGTTGCCCGGCGATCGCATGACATACCCGCCGGAAGAATATCTGCCGCACTATTTGTTCGGTCGCGGGACATGTAGACACTACCTTTAAGATATGATTAATATGATTTTTTTTAAAGTGCGAGTTCGTTTGGTATTTTTACTTTGGACTGTACCTCCACATTATGTAACACCATTCCGCTGATGCATCATGAGATATAACTCTTGTTTAAATGATAATTTTATACAACTTTTATTTTCAGCATTGATCATTGCTAAGTTTAAAAAGAAAGTTATATTATATATTACCATAATTGTCTATTTAAGGCAAGGCATCCTCTAAAAATAATATTATTTTGAACTTTCATCTTTTGCACGTGACTAATTAATTAAAGCTTTCTTTGACCAATGATTTTATAGTGTTTGCACAAGGCATATTCATTCCCTCAGGAATGAAACTATGAGAATAGTACTATAGTATTATAAGACATCAAGGACTGTGAAGGTTTGCCCTTAACGTTTTGCCCACTGCAAATTATGATAATTTATAATATGGACTCTACTCGGTTTTAAACCTCAAATTGAAATATTCTTGTATAAATTACTTTTAGGTTCATTCTAAAACACAAGTTATCAAATATTTTGATAGTTGTAATAATTGAATATTTCCAAAGTATTGGCATGTTCCTCCATTAAAAAGGGGGCGTGGCCCAAGCCATGTTCAAAATTAGGCTGAGTTACCTTATGATAATGCAGACTACTAGGACAAGTGTAACAAAAGTCGGACACGACCTACATCAATGAGAATTGGCACATGCATACATCAATATATAATGTTTATCATTGTTTTATATGAAAGTCCTTTATTTTGAAATTCATCAAAAAAATTTGGAGGAAAAATGCCTTATATGTATCTAGGAATTTCTAAAACTAAGGTCAATCTGAAAAGGTAAAACAGTATGTTGGAATGTAGGTCATTGTGAACATATGAAAGGGTACCACAATTTTATGACACAAAAGTCCTTTTATTAATAAAAAAGCACCAACCTCCAAAATAAAAAAAAACCTCAGAATCTTCCACATCGATTCCTATTTCCCTTACAAATTTTGATTTAGTCTTCCTTGCTTTACCAAAGTGCCTACTATAATATATGCTGGCCTTTAAACAATAGGCCTACAGACAGTCCTATCTGCCGGCCTGCAAAAAATAGGCCTACACCATACCCATGGCTCTTTGTTGATTGATATAATAGTCTTCTCCCCCAAAAGAAAAAATGCACCTATTTACCGTAGTTGAACCTTCACACATGTTGCTCACTAATTGACAGCCCCCCCTTTTTTTTTCACTCAGTACTATTACTATAAAACATGTGGAGGTGGGGGAAGGCTGATTTTGAAGAGGAATCAGGATGCACCAGTAGTAAAATATAGTATTAAATTGAAATTTATACTCAGATTGAGAGGGACAGTATTAAATTGAAATTTATACCCACATTTAGAGGGACAGCATTATATTGAAATTTATACTCAAATTGAGAGGGACAGTTTTAAATTGAAATTTATACCCAGATTGAGAGGGACATTATTAAATTGAAATTTATACTCAGATTGAGAGGGACAGTGCAGTGGCGTAGCAAGGGGGGTGCGGGGGGTGCGGACCGCACCGGGTGACACCATTTTAGGGGTGACACCCAACTGAAAATTGCATATTTACAGAGCAATAACCGCTCGCTCTAACCGAGATTCATAAAAGGATAACCGATCACACATACATTTTTTCACAAATGTAACCAATAGAAATGGGCGCTTTATTAAAAGTTCAAGGTTGATGCGTCAGAAATGAGACTACGCTATTTTTAGGTCAGATTATTTGTCGTTAATGTTACAGCAACAACATCCAAATTTGTTACTGGCTTTGATAAGTGGTGGAAACTTAGCCCAAAATTACAAAATCATCCGATGAGCACCTAAGTTTCCTGGAAAAGTTGAAAGCATTGGAAACAGGACTTAGGATACACAAAAAAATTGATTGATGCCTTAAATATTGCTGTGATGGACAGGGAGAAGAAAAAAATGAAGGGAAATCCTGCACAGGTTGCTGGACATCACATTCTATGTTGCAAAATCTAGAATTTCGGGGCCACAACGAAGAGGAATCTTCACATGAAACTTTCTTGAAATGATTGAGATGCCATCTAAATATGACCCAGTGCCAAATGAGACTAAAGAGAAGTACATCTACACACAAAAAATCCGCGTCTTACTTTTCACCACAAACCCAAAATGAACTAATAAATGTCCTTGCTAATCATGTGAAGGAGACTCTTATCATTGATATAAAGGCTGAGAGGTATTTTAGAATTATGTTCCAAAGTACACCTGATATATCACACACTGACCAGATGTCTGAGTGATCAGATATGTGAAAATTTACAATGGGAAAGTTGAAATGAGAGAAGTGTGTGTGGTTTTTTTTCCCCGTTAAGAGTGAAAAAGCTGATGACCTCAGTTCTGACATTCTTACAAATCTAAAACGTGATGGGCTAGACATAATAATGTTCAGAACTCAGGGTTACGATAATGCTGCCATAATGTCTGAAATCCATGGAGGTGTTCAGACCATTCTAAAAGGAACAACAAGAAAGCAATTTTTAAAGGATGTGTGGGCCATTCGCTTAACTTGTCTGGTCAACACTCTTTTGCAGAAAATGCT